AAACTCAGTATCCAAAGCAAAAACATTTACATAAAGTATGTCACATAAAGTATTTCACAATCATGGAATGTCTCAAAGCACTCAACAGCCAATTAAAGTTGTAGAAAGACTTACTATACTATAACACAGGGAACTGCAGCCAATACACATTAAGTAAATTTCCACAAACAGAAATGTGATCATGACCAGCCAATCTGTTGTTGTCATGTTGATTAAGGTATAAATATGAACAAGGGCATCAGATAACTCGCTTGATAACCTTCCAAATTGTGCCACGCAATCGTATATCCAGATAAACGGAGGACTGGGTCCTTTACTGTCTCAGCTTTTGGATGAGACTCAACACTGAACCGTCAACCTCAAATTTTAATATTGAAACCCTGAAGTGAAGCTAAACATGGAATTTATACAAATTCCAATACTGTATTAGAAAGTAGGCTTTCAACGATGTTGCAATTCAATGCAAATTATCACTCTCTACCAGAGATATCACTGATTCTGACTGACTCAAGCCACATCTGCCTACAGTCAAAGATTTATTTTTTAAAAACTGTATTCCAAATGGATCTGGGATTCATACTCACCTTTCCAATAACAAAAATGTTGGAAAGCCTGGTAGCAAAGCTATTACCGTTAGCATCCTTCACATGAACAACATCAAAAGAGCCAGGGTGCCTCTCACGATTAGTGATTACTCCAATACGACCCAAGTTAGCACCTCCTATCACCATGCACAAGTTACCTGTAAAGCCAAAGACGTTAACAGATCAAAGGGCTATGGAATTTAGGAGTAACTCTTAGAAGCATTTAGCTCAAGAAATTATTCACTTGGGATCTTTAAAACAAAAGTCCATATATATCACACACAAATAATTTAAGTCACAGAATCAACAGTCTTTGAAAATTACAGTGCCCATATACTTGTGTCCTGAAAAAGTCCCTAGATTAGCATGGAAAACATTGTGGAGCTGGAGGAACACAGCAGGCCAGGCAGTAGAGGAGTAGGAAAGTTGACGTTTCAGGTCGGGACCCTTTATCTTGTTATTTCTTACCTCCATTGAAATGGATTTAACATCTTCCAATCCAAGATAATTTCTAGCTATCATACTATCCAATACTAAAAATGATCCCACCTGGTTTTCCTTCCTGCCTGTCCTTCCAAACAAAAAATCACATTATCCTGATAATTTAGCTTTGACCTCCTTGTAATCAATTCCCTGTAATGGCTGTAAGATCATACCCATTAACATACATTTGTGCCATTAATTCATTTGTTTTGTTTCAAATACCATGGAATTCAAGTAAAAGCCTTTAATTTTGTCTTTTAAACATTCTCCCCCTCCCACCAACCTCAACCCGGTTTGCTATGAGTGTACACTGTCCCTTGCTGTTCCACTTTGAGGATTGTAAACTTCTGCTATCCTGCAATATTGCCATTTCCTTTTTCTTTGTAAGCCTACATTTCCCCCTCCTCCCACCCCTGCAATTAGTTTAAAACTATTTCTACCAACACAATTGATAAATTTGCCAGGACAGTGGTCCCTACACAGTTCAAGTGATGTTCATCCCACTGGATCAGCACCCTTCTCTCCCAGTACTTGTGCCAGTGCCAGTGCCCGACTTGTGCTGTAATTGTAGGGTCATTTAACTTTCAAAATAGGTGTCTCAGGTGTAGCCAACCTTTCCAATAGAAAAGTTATCCTTCGTTGACCAATATACTCCTTTTCTGATTCCAGTCAAATTCCTATTTCTCATGTTTACACACACAATCTTAATTTTCCTTACAATGCGATGGCAGAATCGTATGTCCTTGTCTCAAGTCTCTTGGATGGAAAATCTACTTTTCTTCAATGATAGATTGCTTTTTTACAAGTTTATCCAACAGGCTTCATACCTAAAGTCAATAGCTTTATCATTAGTTATCCATTCACGTTTGTTGCCTTATCTCAAACTGTCTTGACCTCAAACTCAAGTTTTTCATCCACTCCAATAGTGAAGCTACCTTCAGGCAATTTCTTTTCCCCACAAATCTCTTAATTTTTCTCAAAGCCCAATTCTGTCTCTCAATGTTGCATCCATACCTGGGAATGCTCAAAAGTCCTATGATAAAGGCACAAAAAATTGTCCAATTTCTATTACTTTCACGCCCTTAAATTTGTCCTGATCAGGGTTACAACCTCTAATTTTTCCCCATTCATTCAATTCAGGTGATCTTCTTCCCCCCTCCACAACAAACGCCCTGAACTTTTGGTATTGTAAAAATTGATACAATGAAAAGTTAAAGTTTTAGTTTTAATTAACATTGTGTGAAGATCTATTTTCTTTGGATATGCAAATTAATGAGACACAATGTTACACAAAAAAAAGAGTGAATATTTACCCTTCTACCAATTTTCTCTCTCCACATTTTATAAATCCATTTTCCTACATTTTGCCTAAATAATTTTTCATACACCAGCCACATCATCAGATTATCTAACTACACTTTCGGCAGCCTGGTTCTGGGCTCATTTCTCTACATCCACACACGTGCTGATTAGCAAGTACTCCAGTTTGTGAACTGGCTTATCAGTATCATTGAGGCAAACTTCAATTTCTCTTCCCTCTGATAAGGCAACAGAAGAACAAAAAAGTGGGTCTAAACTGGAACCTTCACAGTCTCTGCAGTTCAGCTATTGGCAGGATACATTTGTGACCTACTGTTAAAGTTGCAACAGTGACGTTCTTCAATGCTTAATGTAAATGCTATGAAATCAGATTCCACGCAAGTACAGACTATTTACTGTGGAGTACAAAAACTTTTTGTCTTTCAACTCATGTAAAGGCCAGTAACTGATTTTCCTTCACTACAAGAGTTTGTTGAACCCTTCACTTGAATGCTGAGTGCAGTTTTCTACTGTACACAGGAGTAGAAAACCATCAGCAAATTTGTTAAATCGCAAAGAGCTACTGAACCATTCATTTAACGGTTGCACTCGTCTTTCACTAAGGTTTCCAGTGTAAAATGACATTCTAGGTAATCAAGTCTAACGTGATGAAATACGTAATTTTTCTTACACACATTTTCACTCTATTGTTTAAATTACCGCGCTCAAATTTTCTTCAAAAGAACCGAAGTAAATTGGTGGGTCACTTCAAATTTTCAACAGATGCCCTGGTGCACATCTAAACTATTGGAAATAAAATTGAAAGTAACAAGGAGTTCTGTGGCAGTTGCTAAAGCAAGCTCATTCAGAAATTTCACTGCAGAGAA